CCAAAGTGTCACCTATCTACAGGGTGGCCCTGCAAATGGCCAGGGAAAACCCTTCCTCAGCACTAATATCCCTAGCAAGTCATTTTGTAGACTTTCATATGGAATTTTAGAAGTCTCTAAAATGGAAATAGGTAATAGATGACTGTTTAGGACATTAACTTCTCCAAGCCTCTGACAGCTGTCCACCAATAACACAGGTCTTTCAACAAAGGACATGCATAAGCATGGTCCTCACAAGAATCATTATTTGTTGATACTGCTCTTCAGTTAGGGCCTCTAACCCCTCTAAAGGCTCTCTGACTTGTTACTCTATACCTAACCATGCTAATCATACAAATATTGCAGCAAGGAGACTCTTACCTAACCTAAGCAGGCCAGCCACAATGTCAGTGATCAGTCTCATGATCATAGCCTCCTGGGCCCCTACTCTAACTCTACAACTCAAGGCTTCTTCATTATATAACAAGAAGAGGCAAGAAAAGATGGATCCAAAGCGAGGCCAACCAAGATTACTCTGGAAGCCCAGGGCATAGCCAGCCTAAGTCAACTACATACACCCAGTCTCTCTCTCAGGACAGAGAATGGGATCTGAGAGAGACACACCACCTCTAACTGTACCCTTTGAGTGAGAGGAGAGAGAAAGAGACAGACAGATGTCCAAAGTGAGATGCCATGGAGGTACATCCTGCAGGCCCAGGTACCCCAAGCTTACCCCTCTCCTCCCAGCCAGAGGACTTAGCTCAGGAGGATTCAGTGGTAGATTCAGCCTGCATCCAAAAAGGCATCCCCCTAAGGCTGAATATGCCACCCCGGGGACAGGAGATTCTGGAGTTTCATATATCATCCACATCTCACTGTGAGTTTCTTGCCTCCCTGGGCATAAAGAAAAGACCATGAGACCCGGGCTCCAACCTCAGAAGGAAGGTAGAATGTGCCATGCTTGCATAAATTCTAAAGTCCTGTACAAATGCAAAGAGCATTATTATTCCACTGGATGGGTTCTTAATAAACAAAAAAAGTCCTCAAAGAACAAGTGTAGGTCCAATGAGCGTTTCTATTTCAGCACATATAAACACACTCACGCTGGTTCCCGTGCCAGCCATGGCTTTGGTCCCTATGGCTCTTAGGGCTTCTGCCCAAAACAACCTCTGCAACATTTAGTTATTTTTCACTCAGGCCCAAGGAGAACTATCCTCCCCTTGGGTGGGTAGACACAACAAACCCTTTCCCAAAGTTGGTTTCCGTGGAGATACAGAGCTTCTTCCCTAAGGGAGTGCTACTCATTTGGTTCAAGTTTATGTTGGGTGTTTCCACACTCTGAAGCCAGGCTCCAAAAAATGCAAAAGGATGTGGGTTTCCTGGTTTACCTCAGGCTGTCCCAGTGCTACGGAGTCAGTCTGTTGTTTTTCATGGGTTCACTCTGTGGCTGGGGAACCACCTGCACAGAGGCTCATGGGAAAATCATAAAGCCCTACAGCCATCTTGGACGGCAGTTTAGGCGTGAGGTCAAAGTACAGGTTCCAGTGCCCTACAGTATGGATTCAAATCTTGGATTTGATGGCATATCTATTTAATGTCTGGACAGTTCTAGAACATGTCCACCTATAAATTAGGATAATGTAGTAGTGCCTTCCTCATAAGGCAGTTGTTAGAATTAAGCAAGATAATGTGTGCTAAAAAGCATTGCAGTCTTATTACTGAGTATGTGCTATTTTTCATGCTTTTTGCTTTCCTTTTCTCACACTAACTCTTCCCAGTAAATAATAAGGCATACAACAAGCAAATAAATGCCTTCTGGTAACTGGGAAGGTGGGACACAGAAAGAACTCAACAGAGGTCTATACCCTGTGTGTGCTCACTGGCACAGTCCTCTTTGAACAGTATGTAATTGTTCATGTGTTATCTAGTTCTTCCATTATACTATAAGCAACTTGAAGTCAAAAACAAAGAAACTACTTCACATAGTGCCTCACTGAATGTATAGTGTTCAATAAATGACAATTATTATTTCCCAGCGTCACTGTTCTACAGTCATTCTGTTGCAGAAGTAGTTTGTACATTCTAAATTTATAGCTTCACAAGTGTCCCTAGAGAGGGAAGGAGCATGCAGGAGCAGAGACATTTGTTGCTCTTCTGCAGGCAGGAAGTGAGATGAGAGTCATTTATTAGTCACTGAACTCGACTGGAAGGTCCAATGAAGACTGTAGAGTTTCTGAGTATGCAATTCCCTTCAGGGAGACAATTCCATGGGTGACGTGACAAATCTCTTGAGTCATGGGGCATACATCCTTCCAAAAATTAAGTGTGCAAGGAGTAAAGTCTTCCCTTTAGTGGCTAAATTCAGGGATACTGTCTTTTTGGCTTTGATGGTGTATCTATTTAATGTCTGGACAGTTCTAGAACATGTTCACCTATAAATTAGGATAATGTAGTAGTGCCTTCCTCATAAGGAGAACTACCTAAGCAGAACTACCTAATGGATAAGTAGATGGATAAACCCCCAAGTCATAATGCCTGCTCTGCTGGAAGTGGTAAGAAGCAATTCTGGGTGGCATGCCAGCCTTCAGTCAGAATTGAAGAAGAGCAAGAGAGCTGTCTGTATTGGGTTCACTTCTGAGATGTTGCTTCTAACCCTACAGGATAAGAAAGAAGGGTAGACAGGAACTGAGGGCGCTGCCTCATCACTGCCTAATGACAAGCACTTCCCCTCCATTATCACTGACCCCTACCACCAACCCATGGGGCAGAACTCATGAGCCCATTTGCTAGATGAAGCAACTGAGACCCAAGTAGAGATGTGAGGACCAGTGCTCTTCTTCACTCACATCTCCATAGACTTCTGGTATGCTAGGTTCTGGACAGATTTGTGAGCTCTTCCTCAACTCCTGAGAACTTTAGAAAAGTGTATGTGTGTGTGTGTGTGTGTGTGTGTGTGTGCGCGCGCGCATGTGCATGTTGTGTTGGAGAAAAAGAGAGAGAGGGAGAGGGAGGGAGAAAGAGAGAGAGAGAGCAAGAGAGATGGAGTTCACTGAATCTGGACACCAGGCACTAGGCAAAGCATGGCATAAACCATATGCTTCTGTGGTCACAGGTCCCTCTACATTCCTCTGTATCTTAGTGTTCTCTCTGTCTGTCTCTCTCTGTCTCTCCCTCCTTCCCTCTGTGTTGCGTGGTGTCACTGCTGACAACCTACGCTGGCAGCATACATGTTCACTGATATCAACACATTCATGAGAATTCGCATTCACTCCTGCGCTCCACAGGACAGACTCAATACCACAGCTAAATAGGCGTGAGGGGTATAGATCTCACAGAGAAGAATTCCAAAAGATACCCTAAATCTTTCTTAAAAGTATACTTGGTTTCTGCTGGGATTACTCAACTCCACTTGGAAGGGGTGGCTGCTCCGTTAGCTGCTACTGGCCCTGTATTCAGAAAGCAAGTCCTTTCATGGGGCTCAGCTGTTCCTCAGACGTCCAGGGAAGCTGGTCACACAAAGGCTGAAAAAGTAACAACTGTTGGGAACAGCAGCCGCAGCCCATGGGAGCGACTGAACACTCTCTGGAGCAGCCACTTGGTCAACAGTTAAAGCAGCCCATTATCCAGTTTACACAAAACACCCACCAGCTCCATGGCACCAGTGATTAAATATCTCCATTCTTATCAAGCTCATGACATACTGCTGCCTTGCCCTGCTACTGTCTGCAGAAACCATGAACAACTTCATTAGCCATCCAAGTGTGCATAAGGCAGGGAAAGGGATAGATAAAGAAAAACGCCTTTCTGGGCTCTGAAGACCACAGTCAAAGACTGCCACGGGGACCAACCAAGGCACTTCACAACCAACAGTTCCCTCCTTCCAGGGCTTTCAGATGTGAGGAGTCAGAGAAAGGGGGTTTGGAGTCACAGCGACCACACCAAAAGCTTCTAAAAAAAGAAGCGCCTCTGTGCATTTTCCCGGTGAAGAATCTGTCCAAAGGCTCTTGAAAACACTTTCATGTACAGTGTTTTGCTTCCAAAACATTACACAGTATTTCTCCAACAATTTATATGTGTTTCCAGGGAACTCCTGGACCAAAAAGCAAAAAGAAAGTACTACTTTAGGTGAAAGAATGTCTGGTGATTCTTTTGGGCCAATAGATTAACGGACTTTCTCTTATAATTGTTAGTATTTCATAGAGCAGCAGTAATCATTCCCTCATCCACAAAGGAAATATATAATCCAGCTGTGATGGCTGAAGTAAAAATACCACATCTGTGGATCATTGGCAACACCCTGGCACAACTGCGCAAATCTCGGCAGTCCCAGAGAGTTCTTTTCTTACCCAACGTGCACATGGGTACTTCTCTGAAAGTGCACACGAACTTTGCCAAAACCGCTCACTCCTTTGTATACTGGAAAGAGGTTTTCAGATGACCCATCCCCCTAAAAAGAAGGCTGTGTGGGAATACTACTCCCAGACGCAGTGGTAAGAAGTCCCCAGACCCCTCTAGAATGGTGGCCTGTGCCACGGTCCTTGTCAGTAACAAATAGAGAAGGGGAAAGCGGGCGCTCCGGTTTCTGGGAGGAGGCTCTCCAGTGGCGGGCTGGCTGGGTAGCTGGCCCCTGGTTTTCCACTTAGCAGGAGTGCGATTTCCGCAGAGGCAGGCGGCCACCAGTCTGGTCGCCCATCTCCTTCTCCAGCATGTGAAGCCAACGTACTCCTGAGCACGGGGCGCTAATGTTCCAGAAGTCGCTCCCAGCCTGTGTTTAGTCTGTCCCCAAAGCCCAGAAGCAAGCATCTTATTTCTAGCCCAGTCTTCCCAAGTGCAAAGCGCGCCCTGGGCGTTTGGCTCTACAGCCGTATAAAGGCAAAGGCAGCGTCCTGAGCCTAGAGAGACTTTTCTCCCTGAACACACGGCCTGCGGATGCCGTGTTGGCACGCCACTCACCCCGAAGCCCTCGGGGTCCAGTCCACCCCAGACAATAGAGCAAGAAAATAAAATGAAAGTGTACTTACAGCTATGGCTTGCAGCCTCTCCTTGTGCAATTCCGCCTCTGCCATCCTGGGGAAGGGTACACAGGCAAGGGAAAGAGAAAAAGAAAAAACACACGCTATAGTCACCCAAGGAAATGATGAGCACCCCGGGACTTAGCCAGAACCCGGGCAGAGGCGCAGGGTGGCTGGGGTCCGCTGGGGCGCGCGCAGAGCCGTCCGCACCGCTGGCTGGCAGCTCAGCCTCTGGCCCCCCGCCCTCCTGGCTGCGCCCCAGCGCCGCCGGGAACGGCAGCTCACGGTCGCCGCCGCCGCC